TGACATTTTCTCACACAATTTGGCAAACTATCTTTCATTGAAACACGACTCAAACCATAACCTTTTAATACGCAACCCATACTTTGAAACTTACGGAAACATTATGGAATTTAATTCCATGAGAGAGAGTTTAGCTAACATACCAAAATAGAGCTTCCTTAACTTTAGAATGATCCGGAATTCTTAGAAATCCCGATCTATTTTGAGATATAACAAAATTGAACCATAATTAGGAAGATATTCATGGTCTGAGCTCATTTGAGCATTTTATCAGACACTAGGTGTGCAAATTTGACCACACGGTTCTTCTACAAGATTTCCTTCACTCCACAACCCAATCCTTACTTATTTTAACTCAACAATCTTCCCACAATTCTTATTGGTACATGCATGTATAAATAATAATCTCATACCTATGAATCATACTCCGAATCAACCATCTTCTACCCAAATTCGAAATTAAAAACTAGGGTATGGAACCTTACCTCTTAGATGAAGAACTTGTGGGTTTTCCTTGTTAATCTTCCAAGATTTGAGCAAGACTTGATGAATAATTAGACTAGGGTTTCCTCTCTCTAAAACACTCTCCCTTCTCTCTAAAACATCTGAATTTGTTTTTGCTAAAAAATGACCCTTTGCGTGTATTTAACGAAGTAGGGTCGGGTTGTAAGAACCTAAAAATGGAGCTCCGGAATAGGTTCTGCAGTCGCATACACGACCGCATAATGGATATGCGGACCGCATATCGGTCGCATAATTACAGACCAAAACAATCAAATATTTGTTTGTGTATGCGATCACTATGCGGTCCGCATAACTGTTATGCAATCGCATAATGCACTGCATAACAGTTATGCGGTCGCATAGTCGACCGCATATTGCCCCCAGACTAGCCCTTCTCCTGCTCACTTATGCGGCCATTATGCGGCCCGCAGAGTGGTTCTGCGGTCGCATAATGGACCGCAGGAATGTATTTTTTCTCCAAAAATTTTCTTTTACTTTTCGGTGCATTGTTCTACCTAAAAAGTCCGAAAGCCTACTCCGGCACTACGAAACCTTGAATTCACTTGCCAAATTTACGGGGCTTTAGTAGTAGTTACAATATCCAGACTGGCTAGCCAATGTAGTAGTAGTTCCTAAGAAGAACAATATATTTCGCATGTGCGTAGATTATAAAGATCTTAACAAGGCATTCCCTAAAGACTCATTCCCACTTATCCAGACTGGTGAAACGTTGCTGGTTTATCTCGCGGTCTCGGAAGTTGCGGTAAGTGCGGTTTTAGTCCGAGAGGATAAAGGTATGTAATCTCCCATTTATTATGTTAGTAAAATTTTAACGGGAGTAGAAATTTGCTACCCTCATTTGGAGAAACTGGCCTTAGCTCTCGTAGTCGCCGCTCGAAAGCTTTGGCCCTACTTCCAATGCCACCCGATAGCCGAGGTGAATACTTTTCCTTTGCGGAACATCCTCCATAAACCCGAGCTCTCGGGTAGATTGGCCAAATGGGCCATCGAAATGAGTGAATTCGACATAGAATATAAACCAAGGATTGCAATTAAGTCGCAAGTCTTAGCTAACTTCGTGGCCGATTTCAGTCTGGGATTATTACCTCTGGCAACCAAGGAGGCAGTAATGGTGTCGGAATCGACAATAAGGGTTTGGACCTTATTTATGGACGGAGCTTCCAACGTAAAAGGTTCTGGGCTCGGTATAGTCTTAATCATGCCTTTGGGGAAAACCCTAAGGCAAGCCATCAGAACGGTCCCTTTAACTAACAATGAAGCAGAGTATGAAGCTTTGGTTGCAGGGCTCGAATTGGTCCGGGGACTTGACTCCGAGGTTATCGAAATCAATGCGACTCACAGCTGGTGGTAAATCAGGTCTACGGGATCTTCGAGACCAAAGAGGAGCGCATTCAACAATACGTGGTAAAGGTTCAGGCTCTGTTGGCGCGATTCCGGGAATGGTCAATTACTCATATCCCAAGGGAGGATAACGCAGAAGCAGACGCATTGGCAAACCTAGGATCATCGACGGAAATAAAGGGATCGGAGTCCGAGACGGTAGTTCAACTGATGAGCTCAGTCCTGGATACAGATGGTTACTATGAGGTAAATTCGACTAATTTGGTCTGGGACTAGAGAAATGAAATCATCGATTATCTCAAACATGGGAATTTACCTGAAGACTCCAAACTATCCCAGGCGCTGCGCACCAAAGCAATGCGATATAACTTCAAGAGAGGCCAATTGCATAAAAAATCTTTTCAAGGCCCGCTGACCCGATGTTTAGGAGCATCCAAAGCTAACTATGTCACGAGAGAAGTTCACTAAGGGATACGCGGAAACCACACGGGTGCAGATTCCTTAGTGCTGAAGTTGGTATGGGCATGATATTATTGGCTCCGCATGGAACAAGATGCCAAAGACTTCGTAAGAAAATGTGATAAGTGTCAACGCTACGCACTACTGGTGCATCAACCGGTAGAACCTTTACATTTGGTTCTATCCCATTGGCCGTTCATGAAATGGGGGATGGACATCGTCGGGCCACTGCCACCGGCTCCCGGAAAGGTAAGATTTCTTTTAATTTTGAATGACTATTTTTCTAAGGGGGTGGAAGCAGAACCTTATCAAAAGATCGGAGAACGCGAAGTGGTGGATTTCTTATGATAAAATATAATTTGCAGGTTCGTAATACCAAAAGAGATAGCATGCGATAATGGGCCACAGTTTATCAGCACAAAAATTACAAAGTTCCTCCAAGATTTAAAAATAAAGAGGATCACATCTTCAGCCTATCATCCTAGCGCAAACGGTCAAGTGGAGTCGACGAACAAAGTGATTATTCAAAACCTCAAGAAAAGATTGGAAGCAGCTAAGGATAACTGGCCCGAGGATTTACCCGAAGTTCTATGGGCACACCGAACTACGACCAAGTCGAGCACAAGAGAAACCCATTTTTTCTTTCGTGTACGGTGCATAAGCTTTCATCCCGATTGAAGTAGGGGAACCCACATTGAGATATTTCTAGGCAGATGAAGAATCGAATAACGAAGCAATGTTAGTCAACTTAGAACTGCTCGATGAACGCAATGACTCGGCGCATGTAAGAATGGTAGCTCTAAAGCAGAGAATGGAGCGGTATTATAATCGAAGAGCCAACCTCTATTATTTCAAAGTAGGAGACTTGGTCCTAAGGAAAGTAACTCAAAATACCCGGGATTTCAATGCGGGGAAGCTAGGTTCAACATGGGAAGGCCCCTACCGGGTTTTAGCTATCACCGAAAAAAGGTTCATACGAGTTGGAAAACCAAAATGGAGAAAATTTGCCCAGCAATTGGAACGTGGCACACCTCAAAAGATATTATCGCTGATGGACATTATCCGATCAGAAAGTATGTGCTGCAATCTTTTTTCCTTCGTTCAGTTTTTGTTCCAATTTGGATTTTCTAGTAAAGTTTTTAACGAGGCAGCAACAAAAAGCATACTACGAAGACAACAACAATAAGACCTTTTATAGCAAGGCACACAAGCAAAGATCCACTTGGGGATGGTAGGATAATCTTTTGCTCTATAGCAAATTCCCACAAGGAAGTTAAGTTTATTATTGAGCAAATGTTACTTGATCGTTCACGAGCACAAACCACTAGAGGGTTGTTAGATAGTCCTTCACTCGATATCATAAATTCCTAAGGGGAAGTAAAGTGTGTTACCAAGTTAAGAATTATCTAGAAATATATTAGTGAAATCTTCTAAGGTACAAGACTTTCAGTGTTCCAATTTGCATTCTTCGCATTCGAACACTGGGGG